CCCCAAAACCCCAAAACCCCAAAACCCCAAAACCCCAATTTCGTAATTTTATTTTGAATTTTTTGAAAAAATAACATGTCTAAGAAACAAGCAGACCCTCTGATTCTTTCAGAAAGAGAGCTAGTAGGCTACCTTTTGAAAAATGGATTAGAGATAGCACTCAGGCTCTTCGTTGCCTGGGAATTAATCTTAGAGTATTGGTTAAAGTTATTTAGGAAGCATGATTTGACCTGGGAGTCAACCCTAGTGATTTGTTAACACAGCCACTAAGTTGTCCAAAACCCTTCATGAGTAAGTTAAAGTAGCTTCTTAATCAGAAGATTTGTTTTGGGGTTTCTAGAAATTTTCATAAATTTATCTACAACCTCGCAAAGACACTATTGAATACTCTTCTTTCATTAACCTCAGAGAGGACTTTATGTATTATTTTCAAGGCCAAATATGAACATGAAAATATTAGAATAAGAAGGAATTAGAATAGATTTACAGAAAGATCGTATTTTTAATAGCCATAGTTGCAATCCAAGAGAAGAAGCTTAGCCAATTTGGCAATATATTCTTATCAAAATCGAGTATGAAATAATTAGTATCAAATCGGCAAAAATAGCTTCAGATAATTAAATCATTCTATTTCTCTTTACTTCATGCAATTGAGCAAGCAATATCAGCAGCACCTAAGTCTATATAGAGCATCAGAAAAGGGAAGGGACCAAGAAGCCTTCACATTTTGACCGAGTAAGACTCCTCGTTTACAATCTAGTTCAACTCAAGAATCTCAAAAGGCTCAGATGGTAACAACAAAAGAATACTCAGGAAGCCAAGGTTTGTAAACCTCTAGTGACCCTCTTAGATATTTATAGAAGCCGCTGAAAGTAGAGAGTACATAAGCATGAGCAAAACTAATGCCTTTCTGCGGCCTGATATTAGAGTAGAATCCAACTTTTTAGCACTTAAAGAGGTCATCCTCAAAGTAAATAACAAACATGTAGTGGATAAAATTAATAGATCTTATCACCAGTTGACTTTCTAATACCTGGGATTTAAGCAAGTTTCATATCTGATATTCCTTTGAAAGCTTATGTATGCAGTTATGAATTATGGTGCCTTAATATTATTTACTAACTTAGAATCATTCGGCCTCACTAATGTCTCAGATTTCAAAGAGGTCTCATTTGTCAAAACTCGCTTTAAATTTCAAAATTTAAGGACTTTAGTCTCACAAAGGACGCTTAAAATGCGCTTAGTCATATCTTAATTCTTAGTTTCCTTATAGTATAAAGGGTCACTCGAAGTTAGTCAAGAAGGCTACTTTCATATGTAAGTTTTCCCATTTTATCACTTGAATTCCTGTAAATAGCCAGTGTTGCTACATGTATAGGGGCTTCTTCCTGCTATTCGAGGAATTTATTCAAGATTTTATCTGCGATATAGTAACCAAAGTGTCAGAATCCCCCAAGAAAATCGAAAAGAAGAAAAAATTCCAACTACAGGCTGGAAAAGGAGGCTGCCCTATGAACAATTTTGTGTAAAATATTTGCTAATTTGTGTATAGAAGGTAAAACAGTAGCTTAGAGAATCCATGTAGAGCTGTAACCACAGGCTAGATCTTTGGAACAAGGTTATTTTGCTAACTAAATTATGAACCTCAAGGTCTCAATCATTTTGTACTTCGATAATTATGCGTTTGAGCTGAATTAAAATAATAGCTGAGAAAGCCTGATTCAAGTCAAAGACCTTGAGGAGAAATTTGAGAAAGACCAACTAAAATAAGGAAAGGATATTAATAAATCATTTACAAAACGAGAGGCCAAAGGTAGGACCATCAAAGCAGTAAGCTTCAATCATAACTCTTGTAGCTATAAGCCGCCTGTCCTTTCTGAAGATCCTTCAAAGAAGGCACCAACGCCTGCTATCAGAAGAAAGTAAGCAGAACCTTACCAGTATAGTGAGGGCCCAGAGTTGCTAAAAAGACGCATTGAAAATCTTCAGGATAGTAAATCCCAGGAAATACTAAAGACTATCATTTCCAAAACTGCTGCTAGTAAATAAGCGCCTCAAGCAGAAAAGTAAAGGCTTTTTAGTATAACTCTTTAGCTGCAGAGCAAAAGGCAGGCTTCAGAAAATGGTCTGAAGCCTACGAACAGAGAAGAGCTAAAGCTATGGAGACTCTCCAACAACAAGAAGAGGTCGATATCAAGCTCCTTGATGTTGAAACCAGGCTCTTTGATGCCAAAATAGAACGGGAGAGACATTATGAGGATAGAGCTATCAAAACCTCCCAGAGTAGGAATAGATATACTGATTTGTACAATACGAACAAAGCTACCAACCTCGAAGAAAATGTAAGTAAGTTCTTAACCAGTAGGACCAGAGGAAAATTAAACTAGTGCAGAAAGAACTCCGAAAGTTCAAAGCCATCAAAGAAAATAGTAAGAATGTCTCTAATCTTCAGGGAATGGCTTCCAAAGCCCGACTGAGAGGATCAAGAGTGCAAATCTGAAAGCATTAGAAAAGGTCAAGCAAAACCTGAAAATCCAAGAACTCATGCGTAAAGAGTTCTATGAGTCGACTATGAGCAAGCACAAAAAGAAAGAGAGACATCTCCAAACACTCACAAGCCGTAAGGCTATGTCTCCAGATCCTAGGCTTGCACGTCAGAAAGAGAACTACAACTTAATAGAGAGCTCGAGGAAGTCCTTCGGGATTCTGACTATGCTGAAAAGAAAGCTCAAAGATAGATCCCTTCGGACCAAGCAGCATAATAATCTTGTAATGTATACCAAAGATCTGCAGAAAGCTAAAGCCTTGATGAACAAGGAAAGGATCGTGAGAGAGTACCTATCCAAGAAAGACAGGAAGAGATCTGTACAATCTCAAAAGGAAGAAATCAATGAATATGACTCAAGAGCTAGTAAAAATTAGTAGGCGTATAGACAAGGATTCCATATAGTTATAGCCAGAAATTATGTGTTAAGGTCTAAGCGCAATTCAATATTCTCAGAGCTAAATGGGGTTTTGGGGTTTTGGGGTTTTGGGGTTTTGGGG